CCTCACTGCTCACATCCTCACTGCTCACATCCTCACTGTTCACATCCTCACTGCTCACAGCCTCACTGCTCACATCCTCACTGCTCACAGCCTCACTGCTCACAGCCTCACTGCTCACATCCTCACTGCTCACATCCTCACTGCTCACATCCTTTCTGTTCACATCCTCACTGCTCATATGCTCACTGCTTATATGCTCACTGCTCACATCCTCACTGCTCATATCCTCACTGCTCACATCCTCACTGCTCACATCGTCTCTGTTCACAGCCTCACTGCTCACAGCTCCATTGCTCATAGCCTCACTGTTCACATCCTCACTGCTCACATCCTCACAACCTCATTGCTCACAGCAATTTCTCTAACTGAATGCACAAAGCTTCAATACCGTGGGAGATAAGGAAGGTGAGGATGGTCCTGCCCTTGGAGATTGCCCAGCACTCCATCTGCAAAGCACTTGGACTTGACGTGACTCGAGTCTGGCTGGTAGAAGAGCAATGTAAAATTCTTTTATGTGTTATCCAACAATTCAAGAACACAGGTCAATAAACTGAGCATATGGCTCTGCCAGTACAGGGCACAACTGTCCACTTCAGAAAAGTTTTTCTACATCTGAAAGTTGATGAGTGAACAAGATTGGTAAGGTTATATTTAAGTAACAGCATGTGGTGTGTGTATGTCAAAGTATTCACCAGACTGAACTCTTTCAGATAGAAATGACTAAATTCCAGCACACTCACTCATTTTGGAATTTGGTAACCTGCTGGTGGACTGTTATCTAAACAATAGTTCAGGACTTCACATGGTCTAATAGTACAAGTTCAGGTTCAGAACACAACTCTGTACCTTGTATGTCATTAGCTGGTATATGGAATATTGCATAGAAGAGCTACAAATGAGAACAGGAATATGCAAATTTGTACAGTTGTTGCCTTTGCAGAGGAAATAATAGTATTCCACCCTGTGGTAGCTTGAATGTAATTGGCCCCCATAAACTCAGGGGGTGACACTATTAGGAGGTGTAGCTTTGTTGGAGTCAGTATGGCCTTGTTAGAGGAAGTGTGTCACTGTGGGGGTGGGCTTTGAGGTCTCATTTATCTTCAAACCACACCCAGTGTCTCAGACCACTTCCTGTCACCTGTGGATCAAGATGTAGCTTCTCTGCTCTTAGCTCCTTCTCTAGCACCATGTCTGCCTACATGTCACCATGTCACACCATGATAATAATGGACTAAACCTCTGAAAATGTAAGCTACCCCAATTAAATGATTAAGCTTTATAAGAATTGCCATGATCATGGTGTCTCTTCATAATGATAGAAATCCTACTGAGATACATCCTGACTTGATCACCTTTCCACCATTTTAACTTGATTTATTTATTCAATATTTTAAAAATATTTTTACTTTATTTTGTTTGGCTGTTCCCCTTCACTACCATGCTACTCACTATGTGGTCCCGGCTGGTATCTGACTTGTGGCTGAATCCTGCCTGAGCCTCTCCAGGACTAAGTAGCACCAGTTTTCTATATGGCAATGGCCATCTGGTACCTTGATGATTTTCTTACTTGCAGTAACCTGATGCCATGTGAGTAAACTGTAACAATGGAGAGCGTTCTTGAAGACCCAGTGTAAACAGCACTGGGTTCTGAGGAAGAAGACAGGGTCAGGATAGACTCACCCACTTTGATAAGAAGCAGAGGGGGTGGAAATCTCTAAATTTAAACAAAAATGCCCAAATGCAGATTCCTTTCTCTTCTCATGTGCAAGAATGTGTTGGGTCTCAGGCACATTTGGGAGCTACTTACAAAGGCAAGAGTTCCCAAAGATGATTTTACATTAGAAATATTTTTCAAATAAGATCATATAAAGAATTATTGTGTGAGGCAGAGCTAAGTAATGAATGGGCCATAAAAGATATGACTCAATGTCTTGCTCGGAGCTTTATGGGGTACATGGTTTTGAGCAGATAGGGATAATAGTACAATTTCAATAGGTTGGATGTGATAAGATTTTTCAGAGGGTAATTAGGACAGGAGCCAAGGTGAGAGGTCATGATGGGAGAGTGCTGGATCATGTGTGAAGTAGAAAGACATTACCACAGAAAGAAGGAGTGACAGACTCTGAACTGAGTTAAGCCAACTGATGACTTGTTTGTCCTACCCAATGTTTAGTTTTCTAACTGCAGAAACAGTTTTTATTTGAATTAGCAGCCAATGTTTAAACATGGGGAGATTGCCTGCACTTTTTCTAAAGGGTTTGCTTCCCTTGAAAACCCCGAAGTTCTGATCATAACGCTGGGCCTGCAGTGCCATGTCAGTAAACAGTAGTGATCATTAGGAGCAGACCACCAGGACAGGGCACGAGCTCTGTCAACAAACATGTTATCCAGCTCTTCTGCAAATGTCAGTTGCCATTTGTTATGGCTACACTGACTATATTTCTGCTGGTGTTTTGCAGTGCAGAATAATGTTTTCTTTATATCATGCCTCACATACTTCTCAGCTATCTGGTCTCTGTATGTATTTGAGGTTTCGATCTCCACCATAAGGAAAGACCAGAGGACACTCAATCTCAGCTGGATGCATTTGTTTTTCAGGTGGTGGGTGGACAATCACAAAGCTTGGCAGTAAGTAGAGGTCTTCAGCAGGTGGCTAGAGATGTGCTTGTAAAAATTTAATGTGGTAAATGGAAGTAAAATTAATTAAAGGAGAAGGCAGAGGTAGAAAACCCAACTAGAAATCCCTTCATCATTCAAGTAAGAGGTAGAAGGTGGCAGTTTGGCTGGCATGAGTGGCAATGAGAATATAAAGAATCAGACCCAAGATGTTACATGAATAGAAGCTTCTAGAACTGAAAGGGGAGATGAAGAAAGGGCACTGTAGAGCATGGTCACTCGTGCCATCAGAAGAAGGGAAAGCAGTGAAAGTCTGGGGGAGAGGTCAGTTTTCTTAAGGAAGATTATCTCTTGCTTTGGGGCATCTTGCTTTGAGATGCCTCCTGAACTTGTGGGTGGACAAAGTCATCAAAAGGCAGACATATTCCCACAGGTCAGTACAGCCTAGGCTAAAAGTTAAAAGCATAGGCTGTGGAAGTAGGCAGAACTCAGAGTCATTGTGTACATAATGAGGGGATCATTAGGTCCTACTTCCCTTGAGAAAACATGCAGTGTATGGTGAGTGTTCAATAAAAAAAAAAATGGCTCATTAGATACATACAAAAATTCATGGAAACCACAGATGTGGAAGAAATAACAACAGAAAGGATTGCAAACAAAACAACAATAACAAAAACATGGGTCCCAGTCAAAAGTAACTAGAAACTCAGCACTACAAACCTTTTGGTGAGTTTAGGTTCAAAAGAGTCTAGCAGTCATTGATTCAGAACTGAGGACCAACAGATACCAGCTCTAAATTCCCAGTTGGTCTCCCATTGTGGTGACCTGGTTGCTCTATTCCAAATGGCATGGACCTTTGGTGATGTTAACTGACCTCAAGACACATTACTGCGGGTAGTTTAGATGATCAATCAGAGCAGTCTCAGTGTCTTATGGATGAATGGGTAGATTAACAGAGACAATATATTGTCTAGTCCTTTCTGAAGTTAAAAGGGATGCTGTCTAAAGGTCTTGTATGGGGTTAACTAATTCAGAAATACAGCAATACTTCTGATTTTACTAAATTTGACATTTGTACTTTCAGTATCTCAAAAAAATCAGTGATACTTAGACAAAAGAGAAAATCAGCTGGAGAGTCCTGCTAGCTGTCAAGATTTATATCTAAATATGGCTCTCTTGTTTTAAAGACAAACTCATTTCAATCTCTAACACTCTTCCCCAACACATTTAACCTCAGAGCTGGAAGTAGAAGTCAAGAAGCTAAAGAGAGCAGTGGCTGCTGGTAAGATGGCAATGTTACATTCAGGAGTAACTTGGTGCTTAGGACAAAAATGAACACTTCCCTACAGAAGCAAGTAAAGGCAAGTGATGAACCACCTGCTCCCGCCATTGTGAAAACCGATCACTGAGTGATGCAGAGCACTTTGTTAAAAGTTGAAAAGATCATTAAAAAATGTAGTAACGTGCACAAATACTCTGCTTGGTGACTTAGGGATTGATAAGCTCTCATGGGTTAAGAGTCCGTGTTGTTCACAGGGCTATATTTTTACTCCACTTATTCATGTATCTATGTATCTATCTATTTATTTTTATATAGATGTCTAACTGTGTGTGTGCATATGGACACACCAATGCCAAGGTATATATTTAGAGAACAAAACACAACTTTCAGGAGTAGGTTCTCTCTGTCCATTATGTGAGTCTCCAGAATCAAACTCAGGTTTGGCAACAGAAGCCATTTACCCACTGATCCATCTTACCAGCCCAGGGCTATATTGTCATAGAGCTGTTTAGAAAAAAAAAATTACTGACCATTCAACAAGAGAAATGGACGTTTAAATCTGATTACTTTTTAGCCTATCACTCCTGTACTCTGTCATTTAGGTGTTTATGTACTTAATCACCTGAGTCCCTAATTTACTTAATATACAAAAAAATCAGGTTACTAAGTTGAACTAATTGAAATCTAGGTTATAAGACTTTTCAGCTCTGACCATATTTTACCTGCTCCACAATATGTACTGTATTAATATCCCATTGTTCTTCTTTAACATTCCTCTAAATTGTATGTTTGAGCTTAATGAAAGCATTCCTGTTGCTTTCATGGGTGATCTTGACTTTAGTTGATTTTTCCCCAGTACTGGGTTTCAGAACGACTGATAAAATGAAGCCGTCAACAGGAGCCCTACCACCTATAATAATGGCTGTCCTGGCAAGATCTGCCCACTGGTGCAGTAGTGGGCACGTATGGCCCGGGAATAACAAACCACTTAATAGTCGCATTCAAGGCCCATTCCACAAGACGGAACTTCTGTCTGTCACAAATCTCTGGCTCAAATGCCCTAGGCGAGAACCTACTATTATTATTCTGCTAAGTGGATATAGCTTTAAATAGGTTTCTAATGACTTCTCACTATACCCATGATTGGGGCAACTCTCACGACTCACCAGCAAAGTGTCTTTTTGGAGTGGATGGCAACTGACATAACAGCTCCCACTAGGCACAGTGCAGAGAATGAGACATCAGATCGCTCAGCCCTAAAGGGACATCACACCCTCCTGCTTAGACTCAGGGGGCATCATAGAAGAGGAGGAGGAGAGACTGTCAGTGCCATAGCAGTCCATGGCTATAATGAGACAGTATCTGGGGACACAACAGGGCGCTTGCACACATGAATTCTTCACAGCGGCTGTGAGAGCATGATCAAGACGTACACGCACACAAGTTAGACAAAATCCTAACATGGACTGGGGAGTCAATACCCATGTGCACTCAAGTCAGACAAAATCCTAACACGGAGGGGAGAGTTGGGCATGAAGTCCCACCCTTCTTTGAAAAGCTACTGGTAATTTTTAGCTGTTGGAAGAGGGGGAGTTGGTGTTTTTAAAGAACGTGGTCCTGGGTGCTGAAGACATGGCTCAGTGGTTAGGAGCACTTATTCTTAGAGAGGATGTGGATTTGATTCCCAGCACCACATGGTGGCTCACATCATTTATAGCTCCAGTTCCAGTGGATTTGATGTCCTTTTCTGACCTCTGCAGGCACCAGGCATGCACATAGTGCACACACATACATGCAGGCTAAACACTCAAGCATATAAAATAAAATAAGTAAACCCCTCCCCTAAAAGAAATATTACCCCTGCTAAGTTATAAAATGCTCTCTGAGATGGCTCCACACACATGAGAATTTGAGCAGCACAAATTAGATTTGATAGTTTTCTTTAAAAAAAAAAAAAAAAGAGAGAGTGCCAGTTTTCTAAGGTATCATCTCTCAAGAACAGCACCTAATTTTAAATTAACTAGGCAGGAAGATCACAGAGGAGCCTTTGAGAAGATCTTTGCACACAGCCTCTTGCGGGCCTTTCTTCCCGTCAGTTCCTCAGCAGAACCAGCACCAACTTTGATTGTGATGTTTGTCAAAATTTTCTGATTGAAGCAAGAGATAATGGGGCAACATCTCTCCAAAACACTGCAAGCTCACAAATAAGAAAGCTTGGTCTGGTTGCATGGATCGTTGTGATCCTTCACCACTTCCTAGTTTAGGCAGAACATATTATGGACACAGTCTCTGATTCCTTACTGAACTAGCACCAGGTTTAACAGATGTAAAAAAAAAAATATTCAGATATAGTTTTCTATCCAAAGATACATCTATTGTTCTTGTTCAAGTAAATTCTGGTAATCTGGAGATCCTGCAAAACAGTTTGTCATAGGGGGGAGAAAGATTTTTTTTCAACAGTACCTTAGTTTCATCATTTTAAATGTTTGGCATTTAAAATATATTTTGAAATACTTGGTCTGAACTAGTTAAGCTATGATATATGTCCATAAGTTTAAGGTCCTCTTCAACCTCCACTCTAAACGCGCTCACAATTCTCTAAGCTTCAAATTGACATCATTCAATTTGAGACACAGAAGCCTCTTCTCCTGGCTGGATATGTCTGTGAACAAAGAAATACGTTCAAAACACAAACCACTTTATGATCCTGTGTTGTAGAATGTTATTTTAAGGTGTGTTACTTTTGTTTATGTTGAATTTGTTTAACTCGGTGAAGCTGTGTTACTTTACCTGGCTAAAACACCTGATGGTCTAATAAAGAGCTGAATGGCCAATAGCAAGCAGGAGAAATGATAGGCAGGACTGGTAGGCAGAAAGAATAAATAAAAGGATAAATCTGGGAGGAAAAAAAGAAAGATCAAGAGAATAAAGAAAGGAGGATGCTAGGGGCCAGCCACAGGGCCACACAACCATTCACGAAGTAAGAGTGAAAGTAAGATTTCCAGAAGTAAGAGAAAGCTAAAAACCCAGAAGCAAAAGATAGACGAGATAATTTAAGTTAAGAAAAGCTGGCTAGAAATAAGCCAAGCTAAGACCAGGCATTTATAATTAAAAATAAGCCTCCATGTGTGATTTATTTGGTAGCTGAGTGGCAGCACCCCAAAAAGAGCAAAACAACCAACAATAGCCCTGTAATGGGCAAGGACCCTTTGGAGATACAACAAGGTATTCCTAATTGGTTTTAGGCAGTTAGGATCTACAAGTAAGATATGTATTCAGAATATTAAGACTTCACAAGAAGATTTCATCAGAAGTCAAATTTCTGATGAAGGTATGGCATGTACCTGTCACACATTTCAGTATTTCTCTCTTGAATACAGTTTCACAATAAAATTGGATAATCAGAGCTATTCTTGGTGTCTTTGCCTGGGTCCCATGTTACATATCTGGATTTTTAAAGTAGTACTGGAAAATATTAAAGTTGTTAAATATTCCCTTTATGATTAGAGCTCTTTAAACTTAATATGCTATTCAAACAAAATCATTTGGAAGTCCCTTGCTTTCTCTTGCTTTTACAATTTATTCTATTCATCATCTCACTTCAGTAAGGTTCTGGATGACTTGTTTCTATTCTAGGTAGCATTTGTGTAAGAATGGTTTAATCATATTAATGACTGCTGGCCCATCCCTGTGGCCATGTAACTTCCATAAAGTCAAATACCTTTCAAACCCTGCTAACCTTGTGAAGGCATGTGCTGTCCACATGGGAGTTTTTGACATGTTGAAGATGATTGCTTCTTTGTTACTGTTATTATCTTCTTCTAACAATACAGTCTTTTCTGATTTTTCAATTTACTACAGGTGCAAAATCCCTGAAAAACCCAGGGCAGTGAACAGATTGAATCACTTTCTAACAGTTTGAATCTTGAATGAATTCCAAAGTGCTTAGAGTCAAGCTGGTTTTCCATTTCTTCAGTATTTCAAGTTAAATCATTTTCTTTGAAAGTTGGCCCATGGTACTAGTAAATTATGAGATTTGGAAGACCACATTCTTTATCAAATAAGTACTTAGACATTGGAATTACACTGATAATTTTAATTGATGTTGCCATAAATTGAGAGCTGGAACTGTGTCTTCAAATCTTCCTTTGTTATACATGCTGAAACTCTCTGAAAGAGACACAATTCCAAAATTTCAAAAATTAAAACATGATTGAGATGTTTTTGCCTGTAGGTGTTATAATGGGGCAGAAGTAGAAGGCTTTCAACACTGGATACACTAAGGGCATTTCAGAATAGTCTTTCAATGAATATGCTGTAACTGCACTTGACACTACACAGTTTGAAGCTAAAATTTCCAACAGTTAAAACAAGGAAAAACTGTGCAGGGAACTTTAAAAGATGGTTGAAAATCTCTAAATCATAATGCAAGCCAGAAATAGGGGATCATGCCCATAACACTAACACTTAGCAGGTTGAGGGAGGAGGATTGTCATGAGTTTAAGGTCACCCTATACTGTAAGTGCTTGTCTTCAAAAGTATGAAGAAAATGATAATGCACATAACAAATCAAAATATAAAGCTTGTCCAGCTAGCATGCTAGATCTAGTGAAAACTGATTTTAATATATCTAAAATAATTTCCTTCTCTTTATTGACTTAAATGTACAATTGCTCAGGAGAGAGCTATATCACTGATTCTGGATGTAGAGGAAGTAAATAATGCTCATAAGACTTATCTCTGTATGAGGAGAAGGTGCTCTTTATGGTTGTCTTGTGATAACAAAGCCCCCTCAGTTGAGCCCTCTCATGCACCAGAAACACCATCATAATCACTAAGGTCACTGAACATTCTAGAAATGACATTGTGGGGTGAAATGAGCCCCAACTTTGCTCTCACTATTGGGGTATTGAGTCATAGATAAGCCAACACTCATTCACAATGAATATGAGCTATTTGGGAGAGGAAGACATTCATCATAAAGATCATTTATCTTAACAGTTGCTTTGGAATTTGAACATTTAAAAATTCAAACTTGGCACCTGGCTTGTACAAAATCACAGCTACCTAAGAAAGCCCCACACACACACACACACACTTTTTATGGGGAAAAAAAGAGAAAAAATTCTG